ATATGTATATTTGCTGCCTAGATCTTTAGATACCACGTTAAACCAACTTTCTAACGAATACGGAATTGTTTTATTCCTGCTGCAGCCAAAATTTGGTGGGAAGATAATTGACATTGTTTCAGGAGATATTTCAACTCCTGAAGAGAAAGCTAAAGCTCTGGCTGCTGTCAAGAACACCATACTATCTATCTTTCTAATTGTTGTTGTTGGGTATGAGCCTTGCTTGAGTACTTTCTGGTTGATCTGGTGTTTGATTTTCTGGACCTGGATGTATCTATGGTTTCTGATCCATCGTATTTATTTTCTGATAATCCAAGTGATTCCTTAAATTTTCTCAAATTTTCAGTTCAGTTTGCACTGCACTGCGAGCATGGCTTTTCTCTTCTGCCAGTGAAAGGGTTGTTGCGCGGTTGAGAAAAAGATTGTTTAGTCACCTCATACACCAGGTAAACCAATATTCTCATTGATGAATCTTAGTTGCTTCTCCTTGTTTATGTTATTTATGGTCAATTGAAGAGTAGAACATTAAACTTTAGAGCTTGTGTTTCCCTTTCCTCAGAAGATGATAATTTTGTCTTCTTCTTCTTTTTTTTCGTGGTACCTTAGAAGATAATGTTGTTTATTCTGCATCATGAATTTTCAGGAGATAGCCTTCTATGATGTTACCAGAACTGGAGAACTTCTTAGCAGGCTATCCGAAGATACACAGATAATAAAGAACGCGGCAACTACCAATCTCTCTGAGGCCTTGAGAAACTTATCAACTGCCTTTATCGGTCTCTCCTTCATGTTTGCAACATCATGGAAGTTAACTTGTAAGTGCCCTAAAATTGACACTCGTTAAATAACACACGAAGGCATGCTGTGATATATTTTCTCTACATTCATCCTAATTTTTCTTTTGGTAAAATCATCTTAGTATTGGCTTTGGCTGTTGTGCCTGCTATTTCTGTTGCTGTTCGTAAGTTTGGCCGGTTCTTGCGTGAACTTTCTCACAAAACTCAAGCTGCAGCTGCAGTAGCTTCCTCAATTGCAGAGGCATGTCTGTTCTATTAAAAATTGTAATCTTTACAAAAAGTTAAAGCCAAGTATCTTAAAGACTTTAAAACTGATTTTGTGTATGATTGTTTATTAGGAATCCTTTGGTGCCATAAGAACAGTGAGATCTTTTGCGCAAGAAGAACATGAAATAGCACGGTATTCTGAGAAGGTTGATGAAACACTTGAGCTTGGGCTTAAACAGGCTGTGAGTTGCCCATTTTTTTTACTTTGATCTGTGTGCTTGTATGTACTATTAGTCTTTCCAATCTCCAGATGTTAACCATTTTGCTGCTTGGGCCTTGGTGATACAGAAAGTGATTGGACTTTTTTCTGGAGGCCTCAATGCAGCATCTACTCTGTCAGTTATTGTAGTTGTTATATATGGAGCTAATTTGACAATCACGGGTTCAATGTCCGCGGGTGATCTTACATCTTTCATTCTTTATAGTCTCACAGGTGAGTTCTAATATATATTTTACTACCTACACGTGAAAGATATGACTACAGATTATCAAAGTGAAAGTTTTATAATCTACAGATGTTATAATCATTAGTTGATCAGTGTGCTAGTTATAAGTGCATTGATTTATTTCCAGTGGTTTCTGAATCTGCTGTGTTTGAACTGACACAAATTATATTTAACTGTCTCAATTGTGTAGTGGGATCTGCTTTATCTGGTCTGTCATCATTGTATACAGTAGCAATGAAGGCTGCAGGAGCTAGCAGACGGGTGTTTCAACTTCTGGATCGAGTCTCTTCCATGCCTAAGTCAGGAAATGAGTGTCCTCTGGGGTCAGTTACCTGGATATTTATTGAATTTTGTCTTTTCCGCTTTCAGAGAGTTCCCCCTCTCCTCAACCTCTTTTGCTTTCCTCAAATACACCTGGTTTTAGAATGCCAAAACCAATGAGCTTTCATTTTGGATTTACTAAGATTTTAGTTGGGATTGATGACGATATAGTCATACTTTCCACCAACCTATAACTACATCCAAAGCTGCCCTTACCGTTTGAAAGGTATTATATTGCTCATTATGTGAGCTGATTTGCAACTTTCAACATTTCTGGTGGCCTCCTTTATGACCGTGTTGGAGTAAGTGGAACTTTATTAAATAAACAGACAGCCATGGCACGGTGTTGGGTGAGAATACAGGATTCGTGCACATCTCTTTTGCTCTCTCTGTATTTATTTATGTGAACTTAAGAATCATGTTCAGATATTGAACATTCTCTACTTTAGCTGGAATTTGTACCATGTTAAGGAAAAGGCTTCTTCCAAAACGCATAATTCGGCACTGAGAAATGAGACTGAAATGTCTATTACTGTAGTGATCGAGATGGTGAAGTGGAACTAGATGATGTTTGGTTTGCCTATCCATCACGTCCAAGTCATACAATACTCAAGGTACCATCTTCTGTAGTTTTGTGTTCTGGTGTTGTATACGTTATCCAACTTGAATGGTAAATTAAATAACAAATTGTACTGCATTATGTCATCTATAGGGAATTACATTGAAACTGCAGCCTGGCTCAAAGGTTGCTCTTGTTGGTCCTAGTGGTGGTGGAAAGGTACTGCTCATATCATTTCTTCAGTCCTCCCTCTCTCTATCCGCTCCTTGTGTACGTTGTTTGTTTTAATTCATAGCACGATTGCACAAGGTCAAGTAACATACTGTTTATGAACCGTGAACCTTGTGCACTAAAATGCTGTGGATTGAAGCATGAAAAAGAAAGATTTTATGATGAAGTTGACTGGGGAAAAAATTAAGCCCGTGGATTTATTTATTGTTTACTGCAGACTACTATAGCAAACTTGATTGAAAGATTTTATGACCCAACCAAGGGAAAGATATTGTTGAATGGGGTTCCTCTGGTAGAAATATCACATGAGCATCTACACAAAAAGGTATCTTACGATTTTTTTTTTTAGCTGAAAGTTACAACAATAATAGGAGCTTTATCCCATTAAATGAGATTAACTACATGAATTGCTTGACATTATTGTACTCTAAAACAAATTCTATTGATAAGTCATTGACTGAGAGATTTCGATTGATGACTTCTATAAGTGTCCTTCTTGATCTCTCTCTACCTCTTCAAATGGCCTTGAGCTGAAAGTTAATTACTAGAGAATGTGTTTATTTTAATTACCACCAAACAGGGACCATCAATTGGTAAGTAGGCAATGTATTGTTCCCTCATAGGAGACATGTCTACATTTTCCTTATAGTTTGTGCATATTTACATTGACTTAGCAGATTGTTACATTTCAGAGCGTATTCATGAATATAAGATATTTATATACTGTTGACAGACCTTTACCAACTTAAATTATTGTTGATGTAGTATCATGCATTTATATTCATTTCATAACATTTCAGAAGGCACAGCAAATTAGATTTAAGAAGCTCATGCTAAAAATGGTCCAGTTCCTAATATCTATTTGTGATGCTGATGAGCTTAATGGAGATTGCCTTATTATTTGCAGATCAGTATAGTGAGTCAGGAACCTATCCTTTTCAATTGTTCCATAGAGGAGAACATAGCATATGGACTTGATGGCAAAGTTAATCCTGTTGAAATAGAAAATGCAGCTGTAAGAGGATCTTTCACCAAATAGAACCTATTCTCCGAAACCTTGTTCCCTCATTGAATATGGATTTATATGCAGAAAATGGCCAATGCACATGAATTTATATCAAAGTTCCCAGATAAATACCAGACACATGTTGGAGAACGTGGGGTACGGCTTTCAGGAGGACAAAAGCAGAGAATAGCTATTGCTAGAGCCCTGCTTATGGACCCAAAAATTCTTCTCCTGGACGAAGCCACTAGTGCCCTGGATGCTGAAAGCGAATACCTAGTACAAGTAAAATAATAATTTCATGATATATATAGACTTCTTTTTGTTTCTCTTCCCTTTGCTGCAGACAATGAACAATGAGCTAACAAATTACAATTTATGTCGATGTTGTAGGATGCCATGGATTCTCTAATGAAGGGAAGAACAGTTCTAGTTATTGCCCATAGGCTATCTACTGTTAAAAGTGCAAATATTGTAGCAGTTATTTCTGATGGTCAAATGGTTGAAAGTGGCACCCATGATGAACTTCTCAGCAAGAATGGTGTTTATACTGCATTAGTCAGAAGACAACTACAGACAGCAAAAGCTGAAATTTAGTCACTTAGCTGATTCTGTATGATACATTGCCATCGCTTCCTGATATACTATCCAATCCGCTTAGGTGGCCGGCACACCATACTTTTCCATGTAGCAACTCTTCTAGAATTACATGTGCCTGAACTTTCATATACCCAACTTCTCTTTTACAAGTCATAGAATGTCAAGTCTAGGACCTAATCGTGGATACTGTTATGAAGGCTAGCAAAGGCAGATCCTAGACCACTAATTTTTCGGCAAGCGTTTTGTGCTGTGTTTTATGAAGAAGATAAAATCCTGTTTGCTAGGATTCTTATTCTACCATTTTAGTTGAATGGAACATTGTCTGCCATGAAGATTGAAAACCATAGCCCGCCTCTGCAGGCTTCCAACATCCAACTGGCACACTCTTTTCCCCTTTGATGCGCTTTTATCTAGCGACGGTATCAATTGGTTATCACCCTTCGGAATTTAAAGTTACACGGTTTTATATCAGAAACCCTATCAATTTTTTTTTTTTTTGTCATGGCCAAGGACAAAATAAATCCTAGTAGATAGCATACTCGCAAGGTTCTTGTTCGATAATATTTTTTTTAGGAGACAACGAAACAAAAAAGTTAATCAGTGTATATCCGAAACTCTGAGGGTCAGTTGTGCCGAACGGCCGGACTTTACTGTGGAGGTTATTCCTGTCTTCCAAAATTAATTGAACTTTGGCATCGTATATCAGGCACGTGACTTAAGAGGATAAATACAAAATATTTTAAGAGAGACTGAACTCGAGTACACTAACCACGATGGATCAAAATAAAATCTTACTCCGCCTGCGCGTTCCAGGCATTGCCTGGAAACATGGTACATAATTACATCATACATGGCTTAACTTGTATGTATTTTATTATTTATATTGATAATGAGGAACTAATCAAAGAATTTTAGTTGCGAAATAGCAATACAAAATGTGTCAGCTTGTCAATCGTGCATCCAAAAGAACAATTTGAGAAGATCAGATTGGAAACTGGCTCCTGTGGTTACTGTTCTCATCTATTATATCTTCACACGTTCCCCGACAGAATACCAAAGAAAAAAGGAACTTCACCGAAATATGAGCCTCTTACAAGTTTTTTCTGCAAATGAGGCAAGACAAAAACAAAAACGGTATAATTTGATCGGTGTGCAGAACTCACGAACACAGAGCAGGCAGAGGAAGCAACAAGGGGGCAAGGGCTCTTTCAAACCCACCTGAGTGTTATCTGTCAATTCTTCAGCTTCCTCTCATGATGTCTTTTTGCAGGCATCTCAACTGCCTCACCAAGGCTGGAAGATAACATCTTGTTTAACTTCCTTGAATGAGCAGATGTTCAAAGCATAGTGTTTTCCCATCAGCGAAATGGAGTGGAGCCAATGGCTCAACAACGCTCTCAAGCAAGGCAAGTCCATCAACTTTGAACAGTACGAGCAGCAGCAGCTTGAGGAACAAACAAGTCTTCCCCAAGCAAAAGCAATCAATTAACTGCATGAGGGGAAGAGAGTATCAAGTTCAATAGCGCCATCCACTACACTACTCCATCCATAAAGGACTTTATGTTTTTGACATCTTCGTTGGTTTCAGGGTACTTTCGCGGTTTAAAGATTTTCCAGAGTCCGGTTGGATGCTTGCTTTTAACTTCAACATTTCCTGAATATCTTCCATACAGTTTTTCACATTCTGGGAAGGGTTTGACATATAGATTGTAAAATCTAAGTCTACTTGGCTTAATCAAATCCTTCAATCTCACCTCAAAGTCAATTGCACCTTTTGCTTTCAAATACTCCATCACACTGTATCGAGGAACAATCTGCTTTTCGAAATTTACACCCAAATATTCTGGAACATCAGGTAAACAATCAACACTATATTCCATCCTGTGCACTAAAAAGTCAATCTTCTTTTCAATGTTCTCTAAGTCATATGTAATCAACCTCGGTTCTTTCCACAAGACCTTGAAAGCATCTCTACGAATTAACCCGTGACTGCACAAGCAATCTAATCTCAATTTTACTTCAAAACCAGCTCTCAGAGTACCCTCTTGGAAAATCCTCTCTTTGATCGGCTCTCGACATTTCAACGTCTTGAGCAATTGAAAACATCGCGAAAATTCCCCTAGTTCCATTCCCAGAATCTTGGGCTCCCTAATTATCTCTTTTATAATCTCATCATCACAAAATCCCAAATCGCTCAACTCACGGAGCAACGGCTTCAGCCGGTCTTCGATCCCAAGTCCCAAAACTCTAGGATGCAAACTTATTACTCGATCAATCTTATCCCTGGGAACCCCAATTTCCATAAGGAATTCAATTACAGAAAGAATTTCTCCCTTATTCATCACGACCACAGTAGGGAAGTCCTCGAAGACCCGAGCAACAGCAACATGAGTAAAGCCTAAACCCCGCAAGATCTCAATGCTTTTTGAAAGTTCACCAGGATCTAGCTGATACCTCCTAGAGTATCGCAAGAAATTTCTGATCATAACGGGGGAAGGAGTCAAAACGTGCAGCTGTGAGAAACATGCTTCCCATTTCTTGAGAAACTGGTGTTCCAATAGCCCAGGACAATCGCGTATCAAAGAAATGAGAGAGTTTTGCGGAATCCTGAAAGATAATAGAGTAGCCAAACACTTCTCTAACTCCTGTAATTTGGAATTCAAGAGGAAACGATTCTTTGCAAGAAAACCTTGAATCTGCGATGGTGGGAACCCGTACCTTTGGAAGAGATTGGCAAGTGAAACCTCTTTCCTGTACTGAGATTGCTGGGATAATTTTGGATGAAAGGGGTTGATAGAACTGGAAACCGTTGAGAAACAATGGACACGATTTTGCAGGATACGCGAGGATTTACCCGCTCCTAATGTGAGACGCCGGAGGCTGCTTCTGGCTGCAACGTTTGCCACCATTGCCGGTGCCATATCCGACTGGCACAGGAGGCGCAGATTGAAAACTAAATACCAAGTCTAATCGAGTAAATTGAACTCAATCTGGTTGGATTTGGCTTTCAGTGTCACTGTCTGTTTTTGTTATCTTGATCATGAGTTCCTATATTCCCTTTCAGGAGATGGAGAGGGTTTGGGCGCAATAGATGTGAAGGCAAGCTTGGCGTGATCGGCATTACTCTTGTCTCTCAAGAAGCCAGCTTACTAAATTGCAAGGTACGTATAATTGGATCAATCATTAAATCAGTTATGATACTGAGTCACAGATTAGTGATTCAGTCGAGGTTGAATCAAGAGTTTAACATGTGACAAACTTATAATTTAAATAAAAAAATATTAATTATAAAAATATTCAACTAAATCTAACCACTCAAAAATTTAACAATAATAAAATATTATATTTTTAAACTTAACATGTTTTGCCTCTAATTTTTCATTTTTTGACTTCAATTTCACTTCTTTTTGTTATCTTATTTCCAAACTCAGAGCTCTGAAAAATTAAAAATAAAAAAAATAAAAAACAACGTCATTTTGAGAGTAAAAGTTTGAAAAAATAATAATACGGTCAACCCACCAGGTTGAACTCGGGTTGACCGGGTTACACCGGTTCACTCCCTTACCGGGTTAAGGGTAAACCCAAACCGGATAAGGGATCGGGTCACTGGTTTCCTGGTTGACCCGGCCGGTCCGGTCCGGTTTTCAATACCATGCTAAATTGTATAATATGCTCTGTTGTATACTTGAAATCAATGTTTTCAAAATTAGACCGAAAATTGAATCGGAAAAGTCAGTGGTTCATGGTTTGCATGGTTCAACCTGGTCCAACCGGTGACGTAATAATTAAATTAAAAAAATTATATATATATATATATATATAATAATTTAAATATAAGAAATACATATGAAATTGCTATCTAACTTAAAAAAAATATCAAATATTTTAAGTTTATCATAACTTAACAAGCCATATGATACAATATAATATCAAATTATTAAAAAAATTAGTCATTTTTTTAAAAAAATTTGATAAAAAAATTTGAACAACCCGATTTTTGAAAACGGGATCCGTTTCCCGATCCGACTGCTGGTTTGAAATGGCTCAAACCGGCTCAATTCTTAAAATGATTTTTTCCTTTGAATCAGATCGAAAACCAGACCGATTGACAATTCGACCGTCCGATCCGGTTCGATTTTCAAAACAGTGCTTGAAATTCTTTTTGAGTCCTTTTGATGGGGGACATAATAGCTTCAACATATAGTATATCCGTTTACATACTCAAGATTTTTTCCAAATTTCTCCAATGGGGACTTAACATTAGGCTTGGCTACAACATAAGGGTTTGAATGAAGGAGGGAAAAGTGAAAAAAAAAAATTGGAGGAATGATAAAATTGAAAATACATGGCAGCCATGATATTTACTACCTCAATGGTTCACGTGAGTAATTGATAATTAATTTACAAATTTTAAAAAATTAATTAAAATTTTAATTTTTAATTTTTTTTTGCATTTTTCTAACATGTTTAATAGAAAAATATAATATTTGACTTACACAAAATACTCTTATTAATTACTATGTGAGAAGAGCATGATAAAGTAGAGTATAATTAGAAAAAATATATAAAAACTGCTCAATGTTCTATATTTTATATCAAGCAAAGCATTTAGAAAATATTCTATATTATGGTTTGGAAGGAATTTAGGTAAAATTTAGAAAGTTTTTTTTAGTCTTTCATGCAAGATAAAGTTAGAGAAATTGGTTTTACTTTTTAATTTTGCCCTTGTTTATTTATCATAGTTTGAATTATTAAACAATAATTTATTATAATTATCGATTATTGACAGTAAGGAAGAGTAAAATTAAAAATTTACATAGTTCTCTACAATTTTAAAATTAAAACTAACATATTTTAATAAGTGTAAGGTTGATTAACTTCGTCATCAAAGATTAAGAGAAGAATGTCACATAGAGCATCTATGGTGTTAGGTCAAATATGCACCTTTGAGCATTACTATATTCAAATGCTTGAAATTATAATCATGGGATTATTAATTAGCTTTAAAAGGCCAACAATCCTTAGAAATATTTTTAAAGAACATAATTCTAATGAATGAATTAAATGAGGAGTAATATTATTCTTATAAGATCATCTCTAAGATCTTGTGTAATCAGTTGAAGGAAGTTTTGCATCAATATATAGCTCAAGACCATAATGCTTTCATCAGAGGTCGACTTATTACATATAATATTTTGGTCACCTCACAAGCTCTTCATAAAATATATAACATTAGAAGAGGGAAATCTGCATAGATGATTTTTAAAATTGATTTTACGAAGGCACATGACATCATTTATTGGAAATTTGTACATTTGGTGTTAACAAGGGTGGGTTTTTCTATATCTTAGATTCAAATGATGATACAATGTATTTCTACAGTTTCCTACAAGATATCCATTAATGGCTAGCCATCAAGTTCCTTTGGGGCTAATGTTTTGTCAACAATTATTGAAGACTTTTAATTAGAAAGTAGATGGGAGGCTATTACTTTAGGTAGAGGTTGTGAAGCAATCTCTCACCTTATGTATGCAGATAATACCATTTTTTCTACAATGCTGGCCAAAGCAATTGTGACACAGTTAAAAATGCACTTAGAATTTATAAAAATCTACATGGTTTAGCCATTAATTCCTCTAAGTTGGAGCTTATCTTCAATTAGAATACACCAACATCTATACAAATAGTGTTTAGGCAAGTACCTGGGAATTTATATTAATGCAAGGAAATCAAAAACACCCATTTATCAGGATCTTTTGGAGATAGTCAGGAAAAAAGTTCAGAGTTGGAATAGTCAATCATTATCACATATAGCTAGACTTACTCTTCTCATATATATTGAACATTCCTCTCTAATATACCAACTATCTTGTATTCATTTGCCATCTATATGGTGTAAGAAATTAGATAGTATATGCATCAATTTTTTCTAAGGGTTAAAGTATAGAAAGAATAGATGTCACCTTCGTAAATGAAAGGACTTATGCACTCCAAAAAGACACAAGGGTCTCAGTATCAGACTCTTTAAACCTTTCAACGATGCTCTCTTAGCTCATAATCTTTGGTGTTTAGTGAATTCAATTGGCAATAACATAATTTCTTTAGCTCTTAAGAAGAGAACCTATATTAATCAAGATGAAGAGGTATTTTGTTATGGTAATGGGATGTCTTGGATATGTAAGGGGATCTTAACATCTTGGTACCTAATTGAAGCTTACCTTGCTTAGAAAATTGGCTATGGTACTAATATACTTCTTAACTATTATTTATGGTAGCCTATATTGTCTTCTCTATAGCCTGGTATACAGACAGTGTTGGATCTAATTAAGTGCAACAGAGAAAGATGGAATGTGGATACCTTTACTTGCCTTTATTCCTGATAAACCTGTAATAAAATACTCTAGATGAATTTTTCTATTTTTTTAAGGAAGATTCCATCATTTGGTTGCATAATGCAGCAGGAACCTATATAGTCAAGTAAGGATATCAACTAGTAAGAAATATTAAGGATGAGATAGAACCTCCTTATATATGGAACGTTCTTTGAAAGATCAACTTACCATATCGAATTTTGTCGAGAAGTAGAAGGTTATGAATCTTGCGATCCCAGTCAGAGATGTCCTCACATATCAAGAACATTTTTGTGCCCTTTTTTTGATGATGAAGATGAAACTATAGATAATTTGTTCCTTAAATGTAGTTAGGCAAGAGCAGTTTGGTTTTACTAGTATACTAGCCATTAAAACTAAGAATATTTCTTCCCCATTCTCCGTGCAGCTTAAGTAATAGTTAGCTTAAACAAATATTAAAAATTCATAACGGGTAGAGGCTAACCAAACTCTATTTATTATCATCTCATTCATATTAGATGTCAATAATAGAGTTGCTCATGGTAGTAATATCCCTTATCCAATGTCCTCATTGGCAAGAATAAGAAGTTTTTCTCAATCTTTCTCCATCACACTTTGAAGCTATAAGATATACGGGAAGGTCTATAAATCTCTTATTCATTGTTGGTTTGTGATATGTGAGGATGAAGCTCAAAAAGAGGCCTTGACATATGGATGGAAAATTTCTTGGCAACATAAGGCAATGATCAATAATAATGGGAAGTTTTTACAAGTTACTATGCAAGTGCTTCATGAAATCATAACACACAGGAGACAGCGCTATCATGTTTTATAGGATTGTTATGGTGGATATAAAGTAAACCTTTACTTAGGTAAAGGTGTCTAAAAGACTTGACCCTTTATTTAGCAAGACATGGTTTTACCCATCCGAAATAATATAGTTGACAAAGCTTTAAACCAATTATCCCTTGTGAACAGGTATACATGACTTACGTATAAGATCTTGGACAATTTTATACCACTTAAGTTGACACTCTTGCTTGGCCTTGTGTCCTTATCCTTTTCATGAGGGTCTTTAAAATCAAGTCCTTAGACTCTTAAAAGCAATACCACTTACTATGATCAGTATTCCAACAAGTATATGCTTACATGTCTATTAAGAGTTGAATCTCAACCTTTACTGTTTTAATCTCACAATCACTAGGTACTTTTCAACATTGGGACGTATGAGTTAAGTACTTGTAATTATTCTAAATATAAGGTTACCCTTACTAAACCAACACTTAACTAAACCTCTATAGTAATCATGAGAATAACCCAAATGGATTACCTTCTTGTAACATCTTAAGTTTTAAACTGGGATGCTAATTAAAGGGTAATTTAGTAAAATTAATGCATTAATTAAGTTAACCATATTTTGGATAGTTGATTCATTTTGATTATGGTTTAGCTTTAAGATCAGGCTAAAGTAGAGAGTAGAGTAGATTAAAGTTCAAGAGTGAGCTAAAGTGAGAAGTGTCTTGCTGTGCCATACATTGTGGCATGGCACAATGCGTTATGGCCCATAGATAAGAAATTTGACTTTAAAGGAGTTGGTCAGTTTGTGAAATTAAAAGGAAAAAAGGAAAGAAACATAATAAAGGTGAAGAAGAAGAGAGTTGTGCTAAGGTAAGGAACCTTATGCACCTGGGAGCTAATTTTAACTTATTATCTTTTTAGTAAGCCTTATACCTCTTTTCTCTCCTTACCTACTTTGTTTTCTCTTAGTTTGAGATATGAAAAGCTTGAATTATGAGATA